GCCGGGCGGCATGCGATGGGGAACTGCTGCTGGACGCAGTGCTTCGGGCTGCTTCGCCGGGAAACCGGACGGCTGCAGCGAGCCGGCGGAGGGTAAGCGGCAGCGCAGGCCCGGGAGGCCCGGCCGGAGATCGGTGGTGATGGTGCCTGCCGCCCCCGTCCAAGCTCTCTGTCCCCAAGGACCCACCTCGGGAGGCAGCGTCTCCGGTGTGCACCCGGCTTTGACTCCTGGACACACCCTGCTTTAAATTTGTTTCATGTCAAAGCGTCTGTCCACGTCTTTGATTTTCTTTTGGGCCTTAACAGAGCAGGTGAAAACCTGGCCCCGAGGTTGATATCTCAGGTGAATTTTAAGTAGAAGTCACTTTCTCCAGGCTCTGATGAACTCTGTTAGGTCAAGAGCTGCCGGATCACAGCGCACACTGGACATTTAAGTGATTGGTGCGGCACTATGTAATTCTTTTCATAGTAATACTTAGAAATTTGGAAAGGATAGCACGCTGTGATTGCTACTCGCGTTCTTGGTAATCCAAGTATCGTTGAACATCACTTCTCTTGTGCGAAGTGGAATATGCTTAAGATTTTTCTATCCACGCCATCCAAGAGCAAAATTTTATGATTATCTCCTTGTTATACTTTTTATTTCCTAGAGTACCAGGCACATAGCACATAGCGTTGGTGTTGACTTTATTGTTACTAAGTATTTCCCAGGAACTTTAGCCTAGAATTAAAAAATCTAAGCCAGGCGCTATTTTGTACTTTCTTAAGCATACTGCCAGATTTTCAGCCAATAGCTTTGTACCTTCCAGCATGCATGTAACCAAGGGATTTGTAATTTAGAATCTTTATAGAGTCGTGGAGACGTTTTAAAATACAATTCACTAATCAGGCAGAGTATCCCCTGGGATACAGAATAACTAAGGCTTTACACTATGCATCCCTAGAATCGGAGTGAATGGACTTAGAAGATTTCTGCTTAGTTTGGAATTTTGATTTCCCTGATTTCTATAGTATTATGGTCACAGCTGTTTAATATTGTCCTCCAAAATCATATTGCTGTAAGTTTTATGTGGATGAACCCTTTTACTAAGCTATGCAAATAGACTCATGAAAGAATTGGACATGGACCATCTTTGGCTTTAGGTTATTACCTTGGAAGGTGTAATGTTCTAACTCAGGGAAGGAGTCTTTTATATTCTGTGGTAGATATAATGTTTTTATATTTAACGCTGGAGTACATTACTTGAATTCCTCTCCCCCATGGTGATTTTACAAACGACATTTTACATAAGCTATTCATTAAAATTGTGGATTCTACTGGTTGAACATAGGCTTGGCAGCATAGGATAGGAGTAACAGGAGGAACTGAGGGAGTCAAGTGTATGTTGTCTGTACATATGTCATAATACTTGATCGTGAGTCTGCACTTTGCCCTGGGTAAACACTTTGAGTAAGCCCTATATGGCATGGATAGTGATCTAAGACCGTCTGACCAGTTCCAGTCCTGTTTCTTTTCGTCTGCAAACACAGGTTTCAACCGTCTCCTTGCTTGAATCTTCTGGTAAACGCACTGCTTAATATCAGTCTTAACAATTCTTAGCAGCATCCTGGAAGCATGTAGTTACTTAAACACAGTAAGATTAAACAGTCTTTCAGTGTAGTTGCTATGTTAGGCATGCATCTGACCAGTTAATAGTTACTTCTAGGGGTGAAAAAAAGATGGGTAATCACAAAAGTTTGCCTTGATTTTATGTCACTGAACTTACCATGGCTAGAAAAATATAGGACATCCTAGCCTTTCTTAAGCTCATTTAGGCTGAACTCCACAGGGGTGCTTTGTCATTCGAGGCCTGATTTCTTAGCCTTGCAGATTTCCCCGGAGTCTCTCAAAACGAGATCACTTACTCTACACTATGCAGTCTCAACACTATAATTACCAACTGTACTCGAGTGTGCTCTAGGATTTTGTATGCTAGGGTAACTGCTGACCAGTCAAAATATCAATGTAAGTGCTAAAGCAAGTTGGATACCTTAGCTGCCAAGAAACAGAACGTTGATATCCTGAGGGGTTAACCTTCATTTTGAGGGTTAGCCGATGAGCACATCTTGAAGAACTCCATATGCTGGCCAGTTCTGTTTCTCTGGACAATATTAGAAGTGTGTAACTTTTAGCATATCCCTTGAACTTCTAATTGTTCTGTCTCCAATCCCCAAATTCTGGGATTAGAGGTGTGCAACCTCGCCTGGTTCATGCCGTGCTGGGGCTTGAGTCCAGGGTATCACACGGTTTAAGACAGCTCTATCCAGCTGAGCCAATCCCCAGCCCTCCGTGGCACTTTTTCTTAGATAGGTTCTTGGGAACCTAGTTGTGTTTTGTTGTGTTGTATTTTAATTCCGACTTTAGGTCGCTATAAAATTGCCCACACTTGGTCCAGTTAAGTTGTATGACTTATGCAAAGATGTGATCATGTTCGGTGTGCTCTATTTAATGGATGTCAGCCCGCTGGGTTCTAGCAGCAGACTTGCTTCCAGGCAATGGTTTTTAGTGATTTGCTTATCCTTTCCCAGTGAAAATGACTTAGTGCCTGTCAATGTTTAGCTATTTCTGGTGTGCCAGGCAGTATTCAAAATACTGCACGTTATCTTGTTTATTCTTTTGCACACTCCTGTCTGTCGAAAATTTTGTACACTCGCTAGCCAAGTTGCTTGAGACCGATTTCTTAATTTTTTAATAGGGTTTTGGAATATTTCTATATACAACGCCCTTAGACAAGTTGTTTTTCATACACACCTTATATACCTGAAAGTGGTTTTGTAATATTTTTAGTCTGTCTGTGGTTTTACACTGTTTGCTTTCAGCAGTGTAATGTTTATATAATGTTTGTCTTAATGTTACCCAGGCTGGCCTCAAACTCTCCTGCATTTGACCGTCTTCCTGTCATGTGAAGTCAGGTGTGGAATTTCCACGTTGTGGCCTCAGGTTGCTCACAAAAGGTTTTAGAGTTTGGAGCATTTTGGATTTTGAACTTTTAGATTAATGTTACTCAGCTTGCACCTGTGTTATAGGCTGAAAACCAAAGCTTGGAGAGTTGAACAGGCCTGAGATAACAGAGCTGGAATTGCAGTCAAAGTCCCTCTGCAGCCAGAGCCCTTATCTGGTAACAGCTCATAGCTTTTTATTCTGTAGATAACGTTTCTTACCCTCTGTGTCTGTGAAGAATCCTGGACGCTCTTGGTGAAGAATTTATGAGTAGCTCAACAACTTGACCCTGTCTCGCGTGGTAAGCTTCTTGAAGCTGTGGATTTGATCTCTTCAGCGTCCTGCCGTCTTCTCCTTTTCTGTCTCTTTCTTGGCTCGTCTTACTCTTTCTAGCTGTCAGATAATGGGGTTTTCCGGTGTCTTCCCTTCATTTAATTAACTTTACATGTACACTGCTTATCCCAAGGAAATTTAGCCTTTCCTCTTCCTTCAGCCACTACTATTTCGTGTACCTCTGTAGACTACTGTAAGGATGCTCTTGCCTAGATTCTGTTTTAGTTTCCCTTTATACACTTGGACTCTGTTTTGTCTTTCTAAGTGTTGGCTTTCTTTTCGTCCAATTAGTGGCTTCCAAACTGCTCTAGTACTATCTGAACGCCACAGTAGTTGGGCTTTCTAAAACTATACTGCATCGTGGTGTTTCCTTGTTTAATGACTTCTGCTGCTATTTCCTGCAGCTAAATTTCTGAATCTTGTTTTTCTCCTGCAGCAGCCTGATCCCTTGTGTGGAATTCATGTTCATCATATATCCATTTTATCATGTGCGTTCCTGTGTTTGAGCATCTGTAACTTAATTTTGTTCTCAGCAAAAACACATCAATACAAATAGATCAGAAAAAAGGCATTTTTAAAAATTAAAAAAATGAAGATATTCTTGTTTCAAAACAACATACTTACAAATCTTCATATTTTAACTTTTTTATAAAATGTTATCCTTCATTTGAAAATAGTATTGATCCTATCTTGCCAGCCTTACTCTCCTCAATTCTCCGATTGGCCACTCCTTCAGCATCCTGTACTCCAGCCGGATTGTGTTGTCCCTGATGCTAAGGAGCAGTATTCTCCTCATCCTTTGCCTTTATGTGTGATGTTTTGCCATAATGTGTGTTGCTAAGATAGGGGAATCTGTGTTGTCAGTAGTAAGGGATTTGTTTTATTGGTGTGCATATTTGTGGGCTTTGAAAAACTTACAGATTAAAGATGCTTCTGAAATTTCACAAGTTACTTTTCACAGTAGTGGATTTAAATGGATACAAAAAATGTGGCCTGTTCTGTGTTGCCGCTTAGAGATTCCAGGACTTTGCTCTGATCTTTGTTCTTCCTGGATGTATTTTTTCCCAGTGTACTTTTGGGTAGTACTGTGAACCACGTGCGTTTATCCACTCCCTGTGTCCTGTTGTTCCGCCTGCTCCCTTCTTCTGAGACACTACCGGCTCACTCCCAGTGGCTGTCAGTACAACTTCCAGTCCGTCTCACAGGGCTGCGCTTGCCTTTCCTTCTCAGCCCTTTCTTCCTTCTGGTTTTTAAACCTGGATCATTTTTACTTTATTGTTTCCTACATTCGTCTTAGAAAACTACTCTACAGCCACCTTGGCTGTGAACCTGAGGCTCATAATACCCCTTCCTTCTTGTGTCTGCAGCCTCTGCGTCTGTGCTGGCTCGTTCTTGTTGTTGTCAAGATGACACAAACCTAGACATATCTGAGAAGAGGGAATCTCACCCAAGGAACTGACTGCATCAGATTGACCTTCAGAGTCCTCATTTTAGTGCTTACCCTACTTCTAGGATAAAGGCTAAAATCTGTAAAACCTTTGATGTGTCTTTCCAGATTCTATACTATGTATTTCTTGCCTGTTTTTTTTCTTTTCTTGTCTCTGTTACATTCTTCCTTGAATCTGTTTCTTCCCTTTTCACTTAGATAACACCTGCTTACTCATCTTTTCACTGGATATTCAAGAATTATCTTCCACAATTTCCTCAAAACATCACCAATCCTTTGGAAATAAGAGCTCACAGCCCTGCTGAACGGCCTGCTCTTCTAGCTCCACTTACC